ATTCACGCCCACTCCCACTCCGCCATAGACGTGTCATGGAGAGCCGACGCTGCTGGCAGTCAGCCCAGCTGCGACTGGCGCACGCTGCTTGTTTGTTTTTGTTTTGTTGGGTTAGGCCCTTTTGGTCTGACAAGACCATATCAGAGCCGGACGAATGATAGGAATTAGGGGAAGACATTGGTCTGGGCAGACACCCTACAGAGTCGCCGGGGCTGAGCCCGTCCGAATGGACAGACCGACCAGCCCCCCAAGCACCCTCTGCACCCGGCTACGGGGTGCGCTCCCTCGGGAGCAGCGGTGCCGCTCCAAGGGAGCAGCCCGCATGAGATAAAGGTGCCTGTCCAGCCCGGAGTGGGGGTTTCGGCGTGGAGAAGCAGGATTTCAGTATCCTGATTCCTGAGGATAGAAACGACGGAACGGAGGAGCAGTGCTCCTGGAGCACGTTGCTCCGAACCTCCCCTTTGCATATCCGCTAGTATCATTTTTTCCAGTAAAACAATTAAGGATCTGTAAGCTTTTTGTAAGCGTGCGACGGTTATATAGGTCGTACCACTAGTCGCCTTTGTTTTAACATCACGGACGGCACGTATGCCACCCTCCTCTTACACACTTGATTTTATTTGACCCAATCGCTCTGGAATTTCTCAAACTCCCTGACCGGTCAGTGAGTTTGCAAACTCCCTAGTGAATTCGTAAACTCCCTAGTGAGTTTGCAAACCCACTGATGGGTCAGGGAGTTTGCAAACGCCCTAGGGAGTTTGCAAACTCACGGATTTCTCAAACTCCCTGTAACATATAGATGTTCTTATGGTCTTCCATCGTTGTCTCCATCCGGTTCGCTTTGCTTCCATTCGCTTTCGTTCTCCTTCGCCTACACACGGGTCGCCTTTTTCCAAGTGTATATATGTAAGCCAAGTCGTACCCCTCAGACGGGAGGGACATGGCTCCGCTCACCGAGTGAAGGCCAGTCAAGTTGTACCCCTAAGACGGGAGGGACATGGCTGGCGGCACCCGGTTAACACCGGCTGCCCTAGTGTCCTAACCCGCAGAGGCGTCGCCGGACTGACCGGTTTTTATTTGGTCAGTCCGCGCACACCTCTTGCGCGCAAATCCACATACAATGCCACTCCTAGTGATATAACGTAACGTAATCAAAAGAAAGGGCTTTTTACTGTGTACTTTGGCTGAACGCACAGGTTTTTGCCCTCTTGGATAGGCACCAGGTTTTTTTCTAGTTAGGACTTTTCCTGGCAAAAGTTCACCCCACAACAACAGCACACACACCAAACAACAGCACACAAATCAGCAGCAAGTCTCAGCAGCAAGTTCTATGTAAGTAACCAAATTTATCGGTCTCGCCTATCAGGCACCTTTCGGCCTTCCCTTTGCTTTGCTCCCCACCGGACGCCACATGAGCCGGTTTAACGTAGTCTTTTGCCTTTGTCTTAGTTCTTGGGCCGGAATTAAATAGCCGGCATTAACGTAACGTAAACGGAAGACCTGGCCAATTGCCAGCTAGTAACTTTCGTCCTCCCCCGGCTATAGCCTCATGGCTTGCCGGGAGGACCAAAAAAAGTAGCACTGACATGCATTCATGCTAAACTTGTATTTATCTTCTGAACCAGTTGCCAGCTTCCGGAACCAGTTGACCTTAATAGACACTGAAGAAGCTCACAAACAGTCTTGCGATATAAACGTTTATATTATAACGACTTACGTCTTACAGTCTCCAACGAACCTAAAACACACTAATGCTGTTTCCATTACTGCTAACATGAATGAAACAAAGAAAATGCAACAGTAAAAGATAATAGACCTTATCGAAGACAATATCATTCATTGGTTTTTGAATGATGGAAACGGCAAGCAGTTCACCCAACTGAATATCGAAGTACCCGATTTCACGAAGGACAGCCCTCGTCTCACTGCGTGGTCTCTTGGGTCTCTAGCCATGTGAAATCGTTTTTTTTTTTTCTACCAAACTGATAATAGCCCGAAGACTACGTCGTCCACTCCAGAAGTTTTGAGACTGCCCTCGTAAAAGCCCTATTAACAGTGCTAGATTCTCGTCGTTTTCATATGTCCTTACCACAGTTGTCATAAGCGTACTTGCGTAATTTTGTTTTTCTACGTTGCAAGAGACTGCTAGGGCATCACCCTGAACACGGCAAGTCGCACGCGCCTTGTCACAGCGGCCAGTGTACAGCATGGTCAGGCTGTTAATGTGAGGACAACTTTGAGGGTCGCTAGGCAATAAAGTTTTGTGATTAGCCTGATAAAAATACCCCCAGAAACATTGAAAATTGACTCTTCAGTGACTTGAGACGAAAGCTGGATGTATTTTTAACGATCCAGACACCAAGAGACAAAGTGTTCAATGAAAGAACACTGACTCCCCCAGACCCAAGAAAGCCAGACAGAGCAGGTCCACTAGGAAGCTCATAATAATCCCGTACTTCGACAAAAAGGCATTATATTCATTAGCTGTGGGTCCCGTGCACGGGACAAAGAATGATTCCTGAAAGTTCTGAGGGAGTTGAGAAAGAAGTTCGCCGCAACAGGCCAGAACTCTTCAAATTTGGCCAGAGGCACCTGCACCAGGACAACACACCCACCCACAAGTCAATTATGGTGACGAGCTAACTAACACATATGGGCATCAAAACTGTCCCTCATCCTCCCCACAGTCCAGATCTGGCCATCTGTGGCTTCTGGATGGTCCCCAGACTGAGCGAGAAGTTCAGCGGACGCCGGTTGGAGGATGTGGAGGAGATGAATGAGGCTGTGACAGAGGCCCTGGGCACCTTCACTTTGAAGGACTAGCAGCGGGTCTTCAGGAAGTGACCGGAGCGCTACAAGTGTATTGAACTGGGGATGTCTCATTTCGATAGTCACTGGAGTTTCATGCTTTTCTGAAACAACTAACGGTCTCTACTGAAAAAGTATCAAAACTTTTGGAGTGTACCTCGTATGTTCTCAGTCGATCGGAAATCTTAGCACAGGCGTGCGATGCTGCACTTTTTTATGAGATTTATCATTTAGCGAATTATCTGCCCTGTGTGGTAACAAAAGGCAAGTGTTTGTCTTGTGGCCCAATACAACCGTTTGTCGATTGCCGCCAAGTTGGATAAAAAATGCACAATGATGAGCCCGAGCCCCGAGTTATGGAGCCTCGCGCGTCTAGGTGTTACGATCTCCAAGTGATCGATAACATAGCCTTTGTTTCATTCTCGGTTTTGTTGAAAAACAATACCTACCCCGCGCTGAGACGAGTTCCGTGCCTACGCAGCTGACTCACATTCACTCTACATCAGTGCTCTGCATATAGGTTCCGCTGGAAGGAGCGTAGCTTCTTGAAGCCAATGGCTAAAGTTTTAGATGAAAATAAGGTGACTTATTTTTTATATTAGAATCGGTTCAAACAACTATCAGGTTATAAAAGGTCATGAAAATGACAGGACAATCAGTACCAATATGATGTATGTTTCTATTGCTATGCTACTACAATGGTAAAAGGCAAAGTGTTGCGGTGCACGATTCAACACAGTCACACAAGGCACTGTTCGCAACTTTTCACCACATATATTACACATTTCTAATAAACGTCACTTTTCGCTAAACTAGCGCCAAAACACAACACTGACTGTGAACACTGTCCAAATAACCTCGGCGCTCAAATCAAACATTGTCTCAATCAGTAACCCTTAGCCCTCGCCCGACATGTACCGCTCGGGCAAGTGGTAGGTAACTACAGTAACACTCGGCATATGAGGCTGCCAGGCCGGCCAGACGACTAGTCTTTAACCCGGCAGGCGGTGGGCCTACCAGCCACCTTCCGCGCGGTGGGGGGGGGCACTTTTTTGCCCCCCCCCCCGTATCTCCGAAACTACTGGACGGATCCGGAAAATTCAAACGGCGTTCGATAGCCCTGTCAAATTTGTCGAGGGAAACCAAATTTCATTGACCTCGGGGTCACCGATGACGTCACAGGTCAGGTCAAAGATAAAATGTTTCACCGTTCACGGGGCTTCTAGGGAAAGCGCTATAACACCGAGTAAAATGCATTTTGTCGAAAATCAGCGATAAGGCGTCAGTTGTCTAGTACATATGTTGCTATTAGAGGTCACTGGTCATACCAGGTCAGGTCACAGGTCAGGTCACCAAAGGTCACCAAGGGTCACCACATGAGCCCAACTTTACTAAGGTTATGCGATGCATGTTTTATGGCCAGTTTTTCATTTCCAACTCAATGGTGTTGGTTATAAGACCATCAGGTACGGTTTAGGTCACTTTCTGGTGGAGGTCAGGTCAAGGTCAGGTCAAAAAAGGTCAAATTTCAAAGTTGATATTTTTGCATAAAATGGGTATCGATTCGATGCAGCTCGTCACGGGGAGTCTAATGGTGGTCTTTGTTTTGCGCTACGAGGTCTAGAATTGCTAAAAATTGAGTTTGAAAATTTGACAACATCGATTTTGAACAGTTTTTTTCGCTATAACTTGGCCAAAAAAAGAGGTATCGATCTCAAATTTGGTATGTAGGTAGAAGGCGGTAGGGGCTATCACATATATTCCGGTTTTTTTCGAAATTCAAAAAACTTTTTGGATTTTTTGGCTATTATATTCAAAAAATCTATTTTTTGATTTTTGGGGGTCAAAATCCAAAAAATTCGAAAAACCGAAATAGCAGTTTTGTAGCCCTTTTGATTCTACACCTTTTATGTCTGAAACATTTTTCTATATCTCTAAAGCTGTAGGCCTGACAGCTCTTCCCGCGAAACCTTTTTTTGGGTCGAAAATGGCAAAAATGACGTCACTCTGACGTCATTAGCGGCCAACCTATCATAGCCTTTGGAAAATTTTTGGTCACCATGTGCGCTAGCTGCTCCCGGGAGGGTACCGAAAGTTTGGTGACGATCGGCGCAGCGGTTCTCGAGATATATCGAAAAAACTAAAGGGGGGCAAAAAAATGCCCCCCCCCCCCCCACCGCCTGGAAGGTTAAGCCCTCCTGGCGCGCTAGTGCTCTGAGCTCTGGTCACCCAGCATTCTGGGCGCACTAGTCGTGTAGTCCTCTGATCACGCTAGTCCTCTGGTTTTTGTGATGGCACTAGTCCTCGACGTTGATGGGCTGCGCCGACTCGTCCTCGGCCGAGGGCTGGGTGGAGTCGACCACCGGCGTCTCTTCGGCTGCCCGCTCGGCGGCCTGCCGCGAGTTGCGCCACTTCATACGCCGGTTCTGGAACCACACCTTCACCTGTGGAACCAACAGATACAGTCCATGTTCAGCTAAAATAACGCCACCAGGAGCCTCTCTCCCCATTTTCGCCACCCCCGGTGTCCTTAGAACGCCAAAAAGATCAATGAAGTGGCTATATCGGCAGATCTCCTGTTAAACAGATACCCAAGCATCCCATTCAACCCACTGAGCCCCGCCCCCAGTATAAAACACCCCTCGGTATGCGCGTCACGGCTGATGTGGAACGAACTGGGGCCATAAGTCGTGCCGATGACCGGCCTGTCGGGGCGCGGCTCCGACAGCGCCCACGTGACCCGTATCACGCTGGGGACACTGAGTGTGGACACGGAGCGCCCGGCTCTGGAGGCGGGTACGGATCAGTACTCCGAGGAGCCGTGACCGACACGCGCTACATTGTAACAGGATAAATGTGTGCGGTTAGGCTGACTACAAACACATTCGAAATGAAATGAATCAGCTCGCTGGTACTCTAATCCCAAATATGACGTCTACATTGGCATTCAATTTTATCCCATGCATTGTATGTGTAGGTATGTACTGTATCGGTACTGGTTTGTAAGGTCGGGCATGAACACCATCATTAGTAATGACGCCCGCTAAGCGCGTTCCACGTGTCCCGCTGTCGGTCACGGGGTCTGAGCGCGCCCCTGGCTGGTCAGCAGGGGTCGGTCGGCCGCCACGGCAGTCTCTCGCGCTAATTGGCTGTGACGCAGCCCCGCGGGAGACCTGAGTTACGAGCACATCCGTCATCGGAGAGGGATGAGAACCAACGGCCGGAGAATGCCAACCGAGGGTGGCTGGGTCATGTGGCGGGTTCCCCATGGGACGGTCACCATGATACTGGACCGGCACCACCACACTATAGTCGGTCGCCGCCACTGGACGGTCAACACACTCGACGGTCACCAATCACCAACGCTGGACCTGTCACCACAATGGACACTGAACAGTGGACAGTCATGAACATACTGGCTGGCCACCACTTCACTGCACGGTCACTATCACATTGGACGGTCACCACTCGCTGCTCACTGGACGGACGTCGTGCTCCGTATCTTGGAGCTCACCTGATAAGTCGGTGTGTCGGAGTTACCAAATGGGAGCTACCGATGGGGGTTACCAAATCTCAACTTTCGTTTGACGGGCTGCAGGCCGTCATGTCGACGTTGACGGGCCCGACACCGGCAGACTGACATGTGTGAACTGCGTTTTAGCTGTATGTCAGAGTCGGTCTCACCTGTGACTCGGTGAGAGTCAGAGTCGGTCTCACCTGTGACTCGGTGAGAGTCGGAATCGGTCTCACCTGCGAGTCGGTGAGGCCGAGCGTCTCTGCCAGTTTCCTGCGCTCCGGTTTGGTGATATAGCGCTGCACGGTGAACCGCTTTTCCAGCCCCTTCCGCTGGAGGTTGGTGAACACGGCCCGTGTCCAGGTGCGTTTGCGGCGCGCGCCCAGCCGCCGGCCAGCCACCAGCGAGGAGGGGTACCGACAGTCTGTGACGGAGACCAGGGGGGGAGGGGTACCGGCAGTCTGTGACAGAGACAAGGCAGGGTACTGTTCAACAGATAATGTAGAATAACGAACCCTGGCGAGCGGATATGTGAACCTCTTCACAGACCAGGAAATATTGCGCTGTTTTAACGGTCTCGGTGCCAAGAATCTAACAAAGTCTTTTTCTGACCGGAATCACTTTAATTTGACCTTAGGTCAACGTTCAATTTACCTCTTAACCCTATTCCTGGCGGGGGCCTTTAAGGCCCCCCTTCAGGTTTTTCTTGTGCCATTGCCAAACGCCGCAAGACTGAAAGCTCATACTCGGTGACTTTTTCTAAACATTCATTGTGCACATTTTGACAAAAAAAAAGTTGCCGGGTCAGGTCAGGTCAGGTCACCAGAGGCGGTTTGGTGACCCCACCTCAGAAAAGTTTGCAATCACGCCAGAGCTAGAGTTTTTGACCGATCAATTTCTTCTCTTCAGGTTTTAGTTAGGGTACCAGTATGTGCAATTTGTATATCTCAGAAATTTAATATCTGTGACCTGAGGTCAGGCCATCAGACTCGTGACCTTTACATTGCAAGCCTATGGAAAAATATTGAAACGTCTCCTGCTTCGTGTAAACGAGTCCAAACCACCCAATTCTTTGAGTATTATGGAAGATAACCACATCCTCTCCCCATCCCAGTATGCCTATCGCCCATCCCACTCCACCGAAGATGCCATACTCGACATTGTCGAATGGGCGGCTCGCAGGGTCGATGACGGTGACGTCGTGGCGGTAACGTCAATCGACCTGAGCAAGGCATTCGACAGTGTCGATCACTCGGTGCTTCTGAACAAGCTCGAGTGGTATGGCATCTCATCCCGCTGGTTCAGCAGCTACCTCTCCGGCCGTTCCCAACTTGTCCGCTCCTCGACGGCACTCCCACTCTCCCACGGCGTCCCCCAGGGGTCCATCGTGGGTCCCATCCTCTTCCTCACCTTCGTCAACGACCTAACCTGTTTCCTCCCTCATGGCCGCCTCATATCCTACGCGGACGACACCCAAATCCTGGACTCAGCACCCTCCAATCCCACTGACATCCAAGTGCTGAAGTCCCGGGCCGAGGAGAACATCCAGCACCTCCAGCACTGGTTCAGCTTGAATAGTTTGAAAATGAATGGGGAGAAGACCTGTTTCACCCTTTTCGGCACGCAAAATTCAGTTGATAGAGTTGAAGACTTCGCCATTAACGTAAATGATGTAACTATACGGCCAACAAAACATATCAAAGTGCTGGGCGTTCTCCTCGACCAAACCCTGAGCTGGGAGCCACACATATCCTCCATCATCCGCCGGTGCAACGCAATCCTCATATCATTATTCAAAATTCGTCATCACCTCTCCCCAGACATCCTTAAAATCCTTGTCCAAACCCATGTCTTCCCCCACCTCCAGTACTGCTCGTCAGTCTGGGGTGGTGCCTCCAAATCCCGCCTGGACCGACTGCAGAAGGTCATACATTTTGCCGCACGACTGGTCTCTGGTCTCCGTAAATTTGACCGCATCACCCCCGCTCTCGGCGCGCTCGGCTGGCCCAACATTGGGGAAGTGATCGCGCGCAGGGACGCAGTGAATGTGCATCGCGCCCTGTATGCCGCTGGTGCCCCTGACTCGCTACGGGCAATGTTTCGCCCACGAGCCGTCGTCTCAGAGAGGGCCACGCGTGCCACCGCTGCGGGCTCGGCGGTGATCGACTTGCCCCGAGTCCGCCTGGCGGTGGCTCGGCGGCAGTTCCCGTACAGAGCCGCGGCGGCTTGGAACGGGCTGCCGCGAGAGGTGACAGGGACCGCCTCCAGGGCACAGCTGATGCGGTTCTTCCGATAGAGATATGTCGCCACCTGAGTGTTTTTTTAGTACCATTGTACATTTTGTGTGTCTTTTACTATGATGATTTTTGTGACTTAGGTACTCTCATATTGCTTGTATTGACTGGGCCGTAATAGCCACCTGTGGATCAGCCCTAATAAACGAATTACGAATTACGAATTACGAAGATTATCTTATCGCTGATGATCCTGGTGCCGCTAATTGACAGGGGCACCGGCAAATGTCATCTGAGGTCATGTGACGTCATAAATCGTTTTTCTGTCAATAAATCACGACATGATGGTGCTAAAGACTTGAAAGTGGTACCAAACTGCTCGCCTGGTCAAGGCGCGTCGTTTGGTATGCAGCATGACCATACCCCACAACCTCATTGATAAATGACCTGACCTTGACCTCAGGTCAAATTTCAGATTGACCTGTGAAGGTCATCACATACTTATTTCGCATCGCCTCGGCGAGAGCAACAAAAAATGTATTGGTTTTATATCTCTATGTTTCTTAGTTTAAAAGTTATATAGGTAACTAATCCCAAAACATTTTATCGTTGATGACCTCTGGTGACCTCAATATTGACCTGACCTGAAAATGTTTTATGTAAAAGTTGTAGATCTTTAAGCGACCTATCAAACGCCGTTTGCCGTTTGTCGCTGAGATGTGTAGTTTTTGAGATCTGAAGGGGGGCCGAATCGCCCCCATCCCCCCCGCCAGTTTCTTGTCCCGGCGGAGCCCGCCAGGAATAGGTTTAAACCAATGCTTATAAGTGATAAATTAACTTCACACAGTTGTGAAAATTAAACCGGCAGTAACTACCAAAATTGTTATGCTGCGATCATTTTAGCTTAAATAAGCCATTTTTAAAAAGTGGACCTGTAAGTTGGTCTGACCTGAGCCGTGATCGGTTGATCTGAGACATGATCATTTGAAGAAAACCAATAAGTCTGGTGACGGGTTTACTCGATTCCGTTGCAATCAGTCTCCTCAATGGGCCGAACTCTGGGCACTGTGTCATTCCAGTGGGGTCACAGATAATCGCGCGTCCTGCCTTTCACACAGAAGTGCACGTACCGGCCGCCTGGATCAGGTGATGGCACGTGACCGGCCACGGATCGGGGCAGGTAGTGCACAGTCGCGGCGCCGGCTCGGCCGGCCGGCTCCCCAGCTGCAGGTAGGGCAGCAGCGGCGGCGGCGGCGCGCACAGTGGATACAGGGCAGGTCGGAGCGGCGGCAGCAGGGGGCCGGCAGCGTGCAGCGGCGAGCGGCCACCTCCGGGCAGCGGCGACCGGAGCCCGCCGGGCAGCGGCAGCAGCGGACCAGTCGGCGGCGGCCACCGCTCCGCAGAACCGCCGCTCGTGGTCGAGTCGGCATCTGCTGGGGAGAACGAGCCGAGTCACTATACATAGAAGGGACAATCGAGCTGAGAGCCCAGGTTAAATAGCACAGGTCGGACCCACCAACTCACCAACTCACAGCCTCGTTGATGCCCGATGCTGACAACCGTGCCTATAAGTGTGCCCCGTGGTGAAGTACTCCAATACAAGATCAGGTAATTTCCCAATTTGTTTGACGATGCAACGAAACTAATAAGGGATAATTCCCCAGAATTATGGTTGGTATGGATAAAGATATAGGTACACCGCACGCTCTAGAAGCATGCCTCGGTACCGATGCTGCTTGAAAATACATCGGTTGAACAAACATTTTGAAAGTAATATTGTAAAATCATAGATATCCATTGTACGTACAGTCTGTCTTAAAAGTACCGCGCAAAGTGACGGTGGATCCATCAAGCCTGACCGAGGAAGGGCCTGCTATAATTTGAAAGTCACCGAACCAATTGACTTGGGGAATGGACGAGGATGTTCATTGCTTCGGTGACTCAAATCTAGCAGTCCTTCATCGGTCAGGCTTGATGGATCCACCGTCACTTTGCGCGGTACTTTTAAGACAGACTGTACCTAATTGGCTAAGATGGAAGGTATAAAAATCCAGAGCTGACAATGGGTAGGGTTACAATGCAAGTTAGCGATAAGCGTGCACGTTTCGTGACGCACAGCACACTCTTGCAATCCAATTACGTCACAAATTCACTAGTCATCAGTCACCCGCCGATGAGGTTCTTCTGAGTAACGACCGGCCTCCCGTGCTGCGCCCTCCCCTCCCCTCCCCGCGCCCCCCGCTGAGACAGCAGTGGACGTCAGCAGGTGTCTCTCACCCCGTTCCACCGGCTCTCGGAGTCTCATGAGAACCCGCCGGCTCCCGGTCCCCGGGGAGCCGCCGACCGGTAACCCTAGCCGGCGGCAGGCGCAGCGCCGCAGGTCGACGACAGCTCTGTCATCCCGCAGCGGCCCGGCGCCTGCGGGACTCACAGGCGCTGACACTCCGAGAGGAGCTGTTGTGCCGAGCTGTTGGCGAACACGTCTCTGAGGACGTCCCCGTCCCCGGCTCCACTGGCTCCGGCCCCGGGCTGCATCCAGGCCGCCGTGCCCGTGCCCGGGTCTGGTCTGGGAGAGCGCTTCGGATAGGTGTTTACTGATTTCTGTATTTCAGGTATCCAACATTGAAGAGTTGCTTCGCTTGTTAATACTCGCCGGACCTGCAGTGGTGGTCTGAGCTGGTGCGGGACGCAGGCCGTTCAGCCGGCGCGGCGCCGCCCCGTCAGCTGGGCTCGGTCATCGTATAGGGTAGGGTGGGGTAATTTGAACATGTGGGGCAATTTGAACATAGTGTGAATAACACAAAACTACGGAAAATCCATAAGTGGCATGACAATAAGACCAATGAGAGAAATTATCGTAACTGAAAGGGCTATCATATGAACGGTGTTTTAAGTTTCAGGGAATGAAGATGTTGACGCACGGTGTAAAAAATCAATTTCGCAAGGATAAATGCCTAACAACACGTCATTGCAACTTCACTGCAGCGCAAAATCTTGCATTGCTAGCGCCTAATATGCAACGGCTGTTGTTGTACAATGACCTAATCAGTGCCTTCAATCCAAGAAATTTGCCCTTGAAACCTGTTTTTAAAAATGGCATAATAACTTTTAGCGTGGGGTAATTTGAACATAGTGTGAGAAATGAAAATTTCATTGAAGACAGGGATAGCTCCGAAAAAAAACAACGCTCCCAGTTTTTTTTTTTTTTGCCAATATTTTCGACCCAAAGCACTAGCAGGTAAGTGATGCCAGTTTTGGAAAATTTACGTCTAATATCCGTCTAATGTCCGGCATTTTCGTTGATTTTCCGTCCAAAAATGTTAAAGTCAACTATTTGTCCAAAAATGTCTGAAAATTATGCAGCTATCAACACTCATAACCGTCATTTTTATTGCTTATCATGTAATTTTACCAGCCGAAAAGTGTTCGTTATATTGAGAGCTCAACAACCTTTCCATTCGCCAATCAATGCTACGCACGATTACTTGATAAAAATGCTAAGTGTGGCAGGCCATCGTCCAATGTTGTCCTACTATGACTTTGTGCATTCAATTCCGAATTGGACATTATAAAGAATCGGAACTCCGAATGTCCAGGTTCCGATTGGCACCACTCTAACTGATGAAGTAAGGTTTGGTAGAGTTTTTATCGAACGGAGATGATAGACGTTCTGTTAACCCGCGCATGACTGGGGGGGGGGGGGCTCTACAGAGCCCCCTCTCCCATTTTTCAGCAATATCTTCTAAACCGTTTGACGGATCAACACGAAACTTGCGGTACCTTCAAAGGCATCAATTTGACACCTTGTGTTAAAATTTCAACTTTTTAGCTACTATAGTTTGACCGGAAATGACGTCAGAGTGACGTCATGTCGGCCGATTTTCATGCAAAATACTGAATTACGGCAAACGCTCTCAAGAGCTCAGTTTTAAAGGTAGATCCATTTTCTTTGCATGAGTGGACTACAAATACACGTAGCTATCAAACTGCTATCTCGAATTTTCGATATTTTGAAAATTTTGAAAAATATGTATTTACAATTACAAAAAAAAATATTTTTTTTTATTTTTTCAAAAAGTTTTTGACTTTTCGCAAAAAACCGGAATATATGTGATAGAACACACACTGATGAACTACATTTGCAAGTTTTAGCCCAATATCTTCAAAAATAGCCAAGTTATTCGCATTATTGTCAAAATTTTACAATTTTATGTTTTTTCAAATCCATTTTTCAGTACGTTTTTGACGTCTTACAGCAATATAAATGGCACTATCGTGTTCCTGAGCTCAAACTGCATCTGATAGGCACCTTTTTTGTTGAAAAATTTCATTTTCAAAATTTGACCTTTTCTGACCTGAAAGTGACCTGACCTCCGGTAAATTCAGCTGACAATGACCTCAAATGACACAGACGACACTATTTTCGAAATCTACGAGTAAAATGGACCATAAAACATGCGTCACGTGACCGATACATGATATACAATTTTCGTGACCTAGGATGACCTGGCCTTGACCTTAAAAATTCGAAGTTAAAGTTCGGTACCCTCAGGGTATCTAAGGCATCCGTCAAGGAGTGCGTGAACCAAAAATGAGCCTGATCGGACCGGCCGTCCGGTGGTCAGAGCCTAAATTGTGAACTAGCAAAAATGTCGATAATTTTTACTTTGACCTGACCTGTGACGTCATCGGTGACCTCGAGGTCAATGAAAATAGGTTTCGCTCGACAGTTTTTCCAGGGCTATCAGACGCCGTTTGAATTTTGACGATCGGCCCAGTAGTTTCGGAGATAGGAGGGGGGGGGGGCTCTGGAGAGCCCCCCCCCCCCCAGTCACTCGCGTTATGGAAAATACCCCAGTCATGCGCGGGTTAATTGAAGAGAGGCGACCGGTGTGTCAACTGACCGGTGTGCAGCGTGCAGATATTGATACTCTGTAACTGTTATTTTTGTTGTTGTGTTGATTTTTCAAATGAAGGTATGTTTAGAAATGATCTGCCTATTCGTTTTTGGGTCAAACAACATCGGTGCTGGTGAGACTATCGTTTTTATGGCAGGTAAAGGCAGTATGTTCAAATTACCCCACGGTGGGGCAATTTGCACACACCGTGACTTGGTGAAGAAGTGATGCTATGCTATTCAAGGTATGCTCGGCTCGTCCAAAAATGAGGCTTGCATGGTAAAAGCAAGTGACACATGCGCTATGCTGAAACAGTTTTTCTTCATCCAGGGATGAGCTGGAATTTGGTACAACGGAGAACACGTAAAAATATGTTCAAATTACCCCACACTACCCTATGCAAGATACCCTGCGGCCATCAGGTCAGCTCAGACCGGCGCGGCGGCCAGCTCGGCCATCAGCCAACTCACGACCGTGGCTCGGATAGCGCTGAGTAGCCGCTGTGTCGCCCGTCCGCCGAACCCGACACCAGGCTATAAAACAGTCGGCCGGCTAATGCTAACACCGTCATTAGCAGCTCGTCTGAGCTCACATCTCTGCTGATGCTGCTACTACTCAGGAGCCGGTCAAGATCATGCTACAGCGGCGGCTCGTGGTAGCCGCTTAATGGACTCTTTGCGTCGCGTTCAGTTTTTTTTCGCCCATTCCGAGTGGGAAAGTAAGTCATAGCCCTGAAATATGTGGAATCGGTGTCAATGGACTTGTTATTCTGCCGTCTACCTTCGGTGAGCACGGAGCCATTCAGTGCATATCTGAATGACAATGCATATTGTCATTTAAGGATGTTTTCTCTGCTTTGCTATAGCATCTTCTCATTTGTTGTAAAACTTCTCTGCTGCCGCTGCTTTTTGTTATGCATGCATTTGGCAGGGGAGACCCGGGAGGTATGGGCCGGTTTTGTGAAAAGGCAATTTTCTTCCAGTGGGTAGTGGCTAGACCAGGTTTTTCACTCTGTGTACGTGAAATTTCTCTTCGCCTGCAAAGTGTGCCTGATATTGGGCATCTGGGACCAACTATTTTGTCTCGAGATAACTTTCAATAAATCATGCGCTTTTCCGATCCATCAAAATACACCGGGAGGTATGGCCATGGCCCGTGAGGTATGGGCCGGTGCCATGTTTCATTTTTTTCACGACAATGAGAACAATACTCGTAGCTGGTATTTACCCTGATCTCTCTTAGAGCCTAGGAACCGCATAACCCGCCAACAGCTTACTTCATGGAGGTCACTTGGGTATAGTTATATGCATTTTGGTAAATTCA